AAATTTCCAGGCCTGCCGCGCTGAGCTGACAAACAGCTGATCGGCTGTTTGTCCACTCAGCACGCTAGTCTGGACGCTCCCGTGCCGACATCAAAGCCCTTTGTCGGCAGCCCCGTTATTTGTTTACCAAACAAACAAATCTACATGGCTCCGTCGACGGAGCCATGTAGTTTAGACGTACCCAATGGATCCCCACCTGGAAAAGGCTGGAACTGCTGAGTTAGAGAGACAGAAGCCGGGAGAGAGGCCAAGCAGGATCCCTGGCGGCCCTGCAGCCTGCCAGCCTGCCAGAGGTTCTTACACTGCACAGCTCTCTAGATTAAAGGTCTAAAGAACATGACCTATGAAGCCAGGCTTCATGAACTGGGCTTGTTTAGTTTGGAAAATAGAAGATTAAGGGGGGACATGATAGCGGTTTTCAAATATCTAAAAGGGTGTCACAAGGAGGAAGGAGAAAATTTGTTCCTCTTGGTTTTTGAGGACAGGACAAGGAGTAATGGGCTTAAAGTGCAGCAAGGGAGGTTTAGATTGGACATTAGGAAAAAATTCCTAACTGTCAGGGTGGTCAAATATTGGAATAAATTGCCAAGGGAGGTGGTGGAATCTCCCTCTCTGGAGAGATTTAAGAACAGGTTCGATAGACATCTGTCAGGGATGGTGTAGGTGGAGCTTGGTCCTGCCTTGAGGGCGGGGGGCTGGACTCGATGACCTCTCGAGGTCCCTTCCAGTCCTATTATTCTATGATTCTATTATTGTATTTGAGCACTGGGTTCTACTTGGAGCCTGCTCTTGCCCGGTCAGCAAAGCTGTGATTATGAGGAGAGCAGCCAGGCTGGGCACACGGGGCCCCATCACCAGCCCCTAGCACAACACAGGCCTAAGCTGAGCAGGCACTAGGGGCAGAATTTGCCCTAACTCAGGCTACGTCTACACTGCCTCTTTTTTGCGGAGGAGGCGATACAAATGAAGCCCTCATTAGCAACTGCTCACACTTCATTTGCATATTCTCTTCTGATGCTTTTTGCAGAAAAGGTTTTTGCACCAAAAAAGCCGTGTAGCCGGGTCCGTTTTGTGCAAAAAACCCCTTTTGCACAAGAACCTGCGAACCTCATTTGTTGCGGGATAAGGGTTTTTGGGCGCAAAACAGACCCCTCTACACGGCTTTTTTTTTTTGCACAAACACCTCTTCCGCAAAAAGCATCAGAGTAGAATATGCAAAGGAAGCGTGAGAAGCTGCTACTGAGTGCTTCGTTTGCATTACCTCCTCCGCAAACAAAAGGCAGTGTAGACGTAGCCTGAGAATATGCAAATGAAGCATGAGAAGTTGCTAATGAGCACTTCATTTGCATTGTCTCTTCCGCAAAAAAGAGGCAGTGTAGACTTTGTGTCAGAGGTCTTAGGGCACATTCAGGCCTAGCTAATGCAGGGGCAGCCAAGGCTGTGGAGCTGCGGGCATCTGGGCTCCATTGACCCGCCTTTCTGGCCTGACTGACATGGAGGCTGTTAGCTGTTCGGATTAGGCGCTGGGGGAAGGGGTAGACGGTAACTCCTGTTGAGCACCCACTTAGCAGGTGAGGGAATGCAAAGTTCCCACTTTCTCTGGGCAGAAAGCTCCCAGGTGGCTCCACTTACAGCTACAGGAACAAGCAAGAGCCTTGCTGAGGCGGATTTTGGGCACGCAGGACGTGCTGTCTTCGCCCCGCCCGTTCTGAGACGGGACGTTCCTTTCCCATTTGGGATCTGTGGCTAACCAGACTGTTGCTGTCCCTCTCCTGCAGCTGCCGCCTGCTGCCACCAGCCCTTCCTCCCCTGCCCCATGCCTGTTCCCCCTTGGAGCCAGTATTTTGAACTCCTTGGTGGCAGTTCCAAGCCCGCTCCCACCTGCAGGAGCCACCTTCCCCCAGGGCCTGCTTGACCTGGACATGAGTTGTCCCCCCGACACCCACTGCAAGCTCACGCCAAGACTTTTGTGCCGTACGCAGGGTCTGCGTGGACAGTGGGGCAGAAAGGAAGGCATGCGCTAGGGCAACACATGTGCGTTGCTCTATGTAATCCTGGTCCCCACTTTCCTTCCCTCCTCTGCAGCCGTCCTGATGGGCATCTGCCTGCTGTCGGTTACCTACGGGGCGCTGGTCTGCAACGTCCTGGCCATCCAGATAAAATACGACGACTACAAGATCCAGCTGCGGCCGCTGGCCTTCATCTGCATCGTCCTGTGGCGCAGCCTGGAGATCTCCACCCGCGTGGCCGTCCTGGTGCTCTTCTGCAGCGTCTTCAAGCACTGGGTCATCCCCATTATCCTCGCCAACCTGCTCGTCCTCTTGCTCCTGCCCTGGGTGCGGTTCTGGCGCAGCGGCGCCCGGCTGCCCGACAATGTGGAGAAGAACTTCAGCCGGGTGGGCACCGTGATGGTGCTGTGCTCCGTCACCCTGCTGTACGCCGGCATCAACATCTTCTGCTGGTCGGCCGTGCAGCTGAAGCTGGCTGACCGGGACCTGATAGACAAGGCGCAGAACTGGGGCCGGTTGGCCACGTATTACGCTGTGCGGCTGGTGGAGAATGCTGCCCTGCTGCTCCTCTGGTACTTCTTCAAGACGGACGTGTTTGAATACGTCTGCGCCCCGCTGCTGGTGCTGCAGCTGCTGGTGGGCTACTGCCTGGCCATCTTCTTCATGCTCCTCTTCTTCCAGTACCTGCACCCCTGCCGCCAGCTCTTCCAGCACAACGTCTCTGACTTCCTGCAGTGCGTCTGCTGCCGGCAGAGGGAGCCAGACAGCCCCACCCAGCTCGATGCCCCGTGCGAGCCCAGCGTGCGGCACAGCATCGTCTGATAGAACGCGCTGGCCTGGTGCTGCCAGGCGTCTGGCTGTGACACGTGCCTGTTTACAGACCCAGAGGGGGCAGACAGTCTACAAAGCTGTGATTTACAAAGAGGGGGCTGAGCCCAGGGGGGCCTCATCACCAGCCACTAGCACAAAGCGAGGCTAAGCTGAGCAGGCACCGAGGCCCAGAATTCTCCTGGGCCGCTCACCCTGCAGATCTGGCCCCTCTGATGTCACGGGGGCCTGTCGACCCGTTGCAGGCTGTGAACGGGAGAGGCGGGGCGAGGTCGCCCTCCATGACGACACCCACACTGCACGAGCAAAGGGCACACGCGTCCCCACCCCCACCCCCTCACTTGTCAAGAGAGCCCGTGTTTGGGGCAGGAGCCAGGTCCAGCCCCTGCCCCTGCTCTCCCAGCACTCCACCCCCCACCCATACACTGAATCAATTGCACACCACCCCCTGGGCCCCAGGGGCCACCCTCTGGTGCCATGGAAGTGCCACCTAAGTCCCTGCATCTTGACCCCCTGGCTGCTCTGCCCCTTTGCATGGTGCCGCATTTCTCAGCGGTTCCATGCCAGAAAGGACGCTGTGCGTGATTGTGCTCTGCCCCCTCCCCCTCCTCCTTCCCGGGGTTTTCTCCCTGGTTATTACTGTACGTTTGTGGAACTCAAAGGATGAATCTTGAAGTTGACATGGTGGGACATGGTCTGTGTTTTAAAAGAATTGGTGTCACTTCGGGGCTGGCGTCTCTGTCTCTTCTGGTTCTTTGCGGGCAGCATCACGCGGTCGGGTGTGAAAAGGCCGAGCGCTCCAGCCACTCCTGTGAAAATCAAGGGAATTCTCCTCCCTGCGCCTGTTCCTAGTGCTCCAGAGAGGTGTGTGTCATTCCTTTCTCTGTGGCATGTGGTATTGTTTGCTAGGTAAGTTCCATCCCAAGCTCGGTCCACACTGAGTGCTTGGCCCAACTCCCAAGATCTCAGCCTGAAAGACTAGGGGGTTGTGTCTAGACTGGCCAGTTTTTCTGGAAAATCAGCCACTTTTCTGGAAAAACTTGCCAGCTGTCTACACTAGCCACTTGAATTTCCGCAAAAGCACCGACGATCTCATGTAAGATTCTCAGTGTTCTTGCGGAAATACTACGCTGCTCCCGTTCGGGCAAAAGTCCTTTTGCGCTAAAGGGCCAGTGTAGACAGCCCAGATTTGTTTTCCGCAAAAAAGCCCCGATGGTGAAAATGGCGATCGGGGCTTTTTTGCGGAAAAGCGCGTCTAGATTGGCACGGACGCTTTTCGGCAAAAAGTGCTTTTGTGGAAAAGCGTCCATGCCAATCTAGACGCTCTTTTCCGAAAATGCTTTTAATGGAAAACTTTTCCATTAAAAGCATTTCCGGAAAATCATGCCAGTCTAGACGGAGCTGGGAAGTCTGGCTTCAAACGTCCCTCTGTCCCACCCACATCCAACTGCAACACGCTATTTTCCAGCTTCCCTCCTCTAGCTGTTTGCTAAACCAGGGCTTTTCAAACATTTTTTCCTCATGACCCAGTAGAGAAAATGGTTGATGCCGTGACACGGCATAATTTGACTAGAGTGCGGGCTCTGGGGTCGGGCTGAGCAGGGGAGCTTTGTGGCGTAGGAAGGGGCTCTGGCTTCGGGAGGGGGTTCAGGGCTGGGCCAGGAGGGGTGCTAAAGCAGTGTCCTGCCTCTCCTGGCATCGCAGACCGTGCTGCCCCCAGAAGCAGCCAGCAGCAGGTTCCCAGCCACCGGGAGTGCAGAGCTAGAGCTCCGAGCAGGGGCAGTGCATGGAGCCCTGTGCACTCTGCCTCCCCACCTCAGAGCTGAGTCTGCTGCGACCGCTTCTGGGGTGCAGCGCAGTCTGTGGTCCCAGGACAGGCAGGGAGCTGCCTTAGCCCCCCCACTGCTCACCTGATCCCCCTGAAGCAACAAGCCCCAGGGCCCGACATGCCACCCCCAGCCATGGGTTGTGACCCGGCGTTCGAAAACTCTGGCTAAACCGATCTCTGGAGGGAAGGGCTCCCTCTGCAGGGAGAAGTGGGGAATGCGGTCTCGTGTGAGCGGAGGAGTCGGTGGATGGAGCGAGTTCCACATCTCAGGCCTCAGCACAGCCCCCGCTATCTGGGCGCCCCGCGGGTCTTCTCTAACATATACCGCGGTGCGGGCCTGAGTCTCGGCAGCCGCTGCCCTGGAAGTCGGAGGAGGTCTGAGTGGACAGACTTGGGTCCCTAGAGCTGCTGGGCTTATTGCACCGTGACCTCCCCCCAGGTGACCACACACGATCCTGGGAGGGGGGGCCGAAGCCCGAGCACACCTGAGTGCTGCCACCCCCAGTAGGGGGACCAGAGTCAAAGGCTGAGCCCCACCATCCCAAGGTGTGTGTATATGGACCGGAGGGGGGGGGGCTTTAGCTTCAGCCCTAGCCAATGGAGCTCAGGTTTCATTGTTTGGGCCTGAGTCCCCAGCCCTGGTGACTCCATTTGAATCATGATGCACTTTGGGGTCCTGACCCCCTCCGGGAAGGAGGCTGGCATGCCAGCCCGTGCCTGCCTCGTCGTGGTGCTCTTCCCTCACGCTGTGAACGTCGGCCCTCCAATCTGCCCTGTCAGCCAGTGGGCAGGAAATGTGGAAAGCAAGGCTGAGCAAACAAAACCAGCCTGGCCACCCAAACCTGCCTGGCCTCTCCACAGAGGCACAGGCAGGAGGGAGCAAGGGACAGCAGAAGCCAACTCTTAGGGCAGGTGTAGAAGCTTTCCTGGGGGGTCATGTGCAGGCAGGATGTTACTCCCATGCAAAGGCAATCCAGGTAACACAGGAGACCTAAGCCAGAGAGGACGTTTCTCCCCGAATGCCCCATAACTCCAGAGCCCTGCGGGGAAAGTTGCTGCAGAAGGGAGTGGAGGAATTGCTAACCTGCCTAACCTGTTCCTCGAGCGCGGGGCGATAAAACAAACAAGGCCTGGCAGTACACAGGCAGCCGGGTGCTGCCCAAACAATCCCAACACCTGGGTTAGTCTCGCATTGCACAACCGTGGCATGATACAAGTGGTGTGGTGTCTCAACCGGGGACGTAGAGCAGAGAGAACAGTGTTCTGGAAAAGCCAGACCCGCCTGGAGCACACTGATCAGCCAACAGTGGGAGCTCTCCCCGAGGCTAGTGCAAGTAGCTAAATACTGAGTATTTCCACAGCTGGCCTGGGGCGCTGTGCTTGGAGCGCCGGAGCCGGGAAACGCAGATGGGCAGGGTGGAACAGTGGGGAAGAAAAGCCCTTTTGCAAACAGACC